ACAATGATGCAACCACTCCAGAATCCTTAACTCCCAGAAAAGTTGCAAAGAATCCTATGTTGAAGATTACCCTTTTCTTAATTCCCAATCATACGAAAATAAATTTTCTATTCATGTAATGTAGGTGGAACTAGGAAACAAAGGATGAATAATCAAAGGCAACCTCACTTATCCCTCTGATAAATCTAAAACTTTTTTTTTAAGTACAAAAATATGTCAGACACAAAAATACAGAACAGGCTGGGTGCAGTGGCTCACACCTGTAATCCCAGTACTTTGGAAGGCTGAAGTTATGGATCACTTGAGGTCAGGTGTGAGAGACCAGCCTGGCCAACATGGTAAAACCCCGTCTCTACTAAAAATACAAAAGTTAGCCAGGTGTGGTGGCACATGCCTATAATTCCGGTTTATCAGGAGGATGAGGCAGGAGAATCGCTTGAACCCAGGAGACGGAGGTTGCAGTGAGCTGAGATCACACCACTGTACTCCTGCCTGGGCCACAGAGTGAGATTCTGTCTCCAAAAAAAAAAAAAAAAAAAGTGTGTGTGTGTGTAACACCTATGCACTCACCATGGGGTAGGTTTAATACATAGAACATTACCAAAATACTTAAATGCCCCTGATGTACTCCCACCAATTGTGCTCTCCACTCCCTTCCCTTCACCATAAGGATGTCTACTCCCTCAAATTTAGTGTTTATCATTACCTTTTTGTGGGGTACTTTTACCACACATGTACATATCCCTAAATCAATGAGTCTCAATTGGGAGCAATTACGCCCCCCACGAGGGGACATCTGGCAATGTCTGGAGATATTGTGGGTTGTCACAAGGGGGTGGGGTACTACTGCATCTAATGGGTAGAGGCCAGGGATGCCTGCCTACAATGCACAGGACATTCCTATAACAAAAAATTGTCCTATCCAGTTCAAAATGTCAATAGTGCCAAGACTGAAAACCCTATCCTAAAACAGTTTGGTTCCGCACTTTAACATACCATATAAAGTGAGTTGCAAGCTTTTCTTTTGCAACTTACTTTATTTGCTTAATATTAACTTTCTCTTCTATATAGTAGTACACTATACAAATTCATACAAGTTATCCATTCTCTTGTTAATGTACATTTAAGTTTTTTCCAATTTTCTGCTTTCACATGCAACACTGCTGTGAACATTCTCTTTTAAATTTTATTTTATTTCTCTCAAAACCATTGTAACTGCTGTGAACACTCCTATACAAGCCTCTATGGGCTCAAATAGAGATTCTCTCTAGGGCAGTGACTTTCAAAGTGTTGTTCTTTTTTTTTTAAACAGTCTCACTCTGTCACCATGCTGGAGTGCAGTGGCATGATCTCTGCTCACTGTAAACTCCATCTCCTGGGTTCAAGAGATTCTCCTGCCTCAGCCTCCCAAGTAGCTGGGACTACAGGCATGAGCCACCACGCCCAGCTAATTTTTGTATTTTTTTTTTTTTTTTTTTAGTAGAGATGGCGTTTGGTGAAACCCCGTTGGCCAGGATGGTCTCGATCCCTTGACCTCGTGATCCACCCACCTCGGCCTCCCAAAATGCTGGGATTACAGGCGTGAGCCACTGCACCCAGCTCAAAATGTTGTTCTTCAACCTTTAGGGAAATCCTCAAGACCCTTTGAGGGGTTTCATGAGGTCAAGAGTATTTTCACAATAATATATATTAGTTGCCTTTTTCACAAGTACCTGGCATCACATTGCTGGTACAAAAGCAGTAATGGGTAAAATTGCTGCTGACTTAGCTGAGTTAACACCATCACTAATGAGACATATGGATACCATGTACCTCCCGGTATGATGCACTAACAAGGGAAAAACATCATTTCTATGGTATTCTTGCCAAAAATACGTAATCTGAATTTAATCAGGAAGAACCAGCAGAAACAGATTTGAGAGATAATAAGATTGTTTTTCATTACCCTGACACTGACTAAAGACTGAAGAACTAGTCCAGATTGGAAGAGACTACTAAATGCAACATGTGATCTTGGATCAGAAAAAGAATATTAGTAGGACAATCGATGAAATTTGAAAAAGGACTTAGTATTAGTTAATACACTATTACCATATTAGTGTTAATTTTCTGGTTTTGGTCATTGTACTTGGTAAGATATTAACAGCTGAAGAGGATGGGTAAAGGGCAAAAGAAAACTCTTACTAGTTTTGTCATTTTTTTGGAAGACTACAATTGTTTCCAAAAGAAAAGATAATTTTTTAAATTTTAATATTATGCAAACAAATATCAAGTACTTAATATTGAGTAAATCTTGTACAATGTAATAAAATGTCAGTGAACACCAATTATTAAATATTTTGAAGAAAAAAGAAAACACTGAAAGTAATATTATAGTTCTGGGGCAAAACAAGAGCCAGGAGCTTAGAATTTTGTTCAATTCTTTAAAAAAAAAAAAAAAACCTGAAGAATATAAACCGTAGAAATTAAAATATATTTCAACAAGTATTTCATATGAAGGTTAGCTATCCATCTATTCTGCTCTTAAAATGTTTGTTAAAAGATGAGATGAACAAGGTAAACCACTACATATAACAAATTATGTACAAAATTATCTTATTAATTAAACTAAGATTCTAAAAGTTACTTCTGAAAAACATCTACTTTTACATTAAGATAAAATACAACCATTAATATGACAGATACACCCCATACTAAAAACATATAGATAACATTAATATCCCTTCAAAAATCACTGTAGTAAAGAACTTGTTACACTTTACCCTAGATACTTAAATTCCCTCATAAATCTACAATTACTGATCCCAAAAAATCCTCCAAATAAGAGTTGTGTTGTAATCCCAGCACTTTGGGAGGCCAAGGCAGGTGGATCACTTCAGGTCAGGAATTCAAGACCAGCCTGGCCAACATGGTGAAACCTTGTCTCTAGTAAAAATACAAAAATTAGCCAGGGGTGGTGGCAGGCGCCTGTAATCCCAGCTACTCGGGAGGCTGAGGCAGGAGAATCACTTGAACCAGGGAGGCAGAGATTGCAGTGAGCTGAGATCGCACCATTGCACTCCGGCCTGGGCAACAACAGTGAAACTCCATCTCAAAAAACAGAGCTGTGGTCAGACTCTAGCTTGAGATAGAATGACAAAACTTCAAGACTGCAGGTGAAGGAACAAAACCCTGTTTCAAAAAAAAAAAAAAAAAGAGTATGCAGAAATTAGACACAGGCCTCAAACACTGCGGCTGGCAGTGTCAACTCATAACATATTACCAAAGAGCAATTAGTCAACATCTACCAAAATGTTAACTATGTGCAAGGTTTTTATGCAGCAATTCTACTTCTGCAGATACTCAGCACATATGCACAAGAATATATGTACAAGGAGATTTATTCACTGCATCATTGCAAAGAAAACCTGAAATAATAAAATGCCCATCAATAAAGTACTGGTTAGACGAATTACTGTATCCAATTAGTGGAATACTATGCAGCCATGAAACAATGGAACAATCACCAATATGACTTAGTGAAAGAAACAAGAGTACAGAGGAGTGAATAGTTTATAATCATTTGTACTTAAAGGGGGATTAGATTTATAGTATATTCACATACATGCTTGCCATGAATATACTGTAAGACTACACAAGAAACTGATAACAACAGCTGCCCCTTTTTGTGCTACTGAATCTTTTTATTTTCTTCTAGTGATGTACATACACCCTTTTTAATGTTCAAAAGCTAGCTAAAGCCTGGCCTGGTGGCTGACACCTGTAATCGCAGCATTTTGGGAGGCTGAGGCAGGAGGGTTGCTTGAGGCCAGGAGTTCAAGATCATCCCGAGAAAGCGAGACAATTGTCTCTAAAAAAAAAATTGTTTTAATAAAAATAATTATTTTTAAAAGGCTACTAAGGAACACAATTTTATGAATTACCTGTTCAAAAACTGAGTCGGCTCAGTGTTAATTTCTTTTTTATTGCTACTAATACCTATGAGCCCATTCCAACATTTGTTAAGCTTTGACAAACTCAGTATCTCAGAAGCAGTTCATTTAGGAATTCTGAAAAGCATCCAATTTTAAATGTGAACTATTTTCTACAGAATCAAGGATAAATAATAACAAAGATGAATCTACATGAAAATGAATTTGATACTTATTTCGTGAAAGTAAGCCTTTGGTTTAATCACTTAAAAACTCCAAATAACAGATCCCTAAAATTCACTAATCAAGATTCACTAATCAAGGACCCTGACTAGCACTGCTGGGTGAAATGGATAAGATCTGGACACCACCTTACTGAGACCGGATGTTAACATAACAAAAAAAAGAACATCAATCAGGTGTCCCCTATGCCGATCTGCCACTTGGAAAAAAGTACTTAACACAAAGAAATGGTTCAGGAGCTCAGGCTGTTCTTCCCTCTATTGGTATAAAGATATATAATTGAACAATTTAGATGAAAAATCATTCCACAGAGTCCCAAGTAACATTCAGCTACTGAACTCCAAGTCATTCTGTGTCACAGGCGGTAAGAAAAAAAGGTATCTCCACAAATCCGAGGTACCAACGGCCCCTAGGCAATTGTAACCGGTCAACTGAGCACCATATGGCAAGGCAGGCCTCCCTTCAAACAGTTATCACTTGGTGGCTGATTAATTTCAATGGCTTATTAGATAGGCCTCTCCAGACCCCTTCCCAAGAGGAAGAGTCAGGTTGGGGGGCGGGGGGCTATGTCTGTTCTCTTCCTGATGCTTTGTGTCTTCCAGGCTTGAAAGCATCACAGTGATGGTGCTGCCATCATTTCCCCTGGGAGTAGAGGGTCGTTTCTGCAAGTTTTTGTTCACCCGTTCTGAACCTAGAATTCCCTTGGCGCTTTCCCTTTCCGCTCACTCCAGCCGGGCGCTGCCCACCAGGTGTCCCACCGCCGGCCTCTCCCCGCGGCCCCGACGCCCACCGCAGCTTGCCCCTGTCCCCGCGCGCGCAGGCCCGGGCCAGGTGGCCGCGGCTTACCGGTGGGCGCGCTGTCCAGGATGCGCAGGTCGTAGGCCCCGGAGCAGCGGTAGTTGGCAGCAGTGCCGTTGTCCCACACCACTACCACCTCCTCGGGGCTCTCGAAGCTGCGGACGGTGCCCACATGGCCCTCGCCGCCGTCCTGCTTCCCCCACTTCCAGTCCGGGCCGCGCACTACCCGAGCGCCGACCCCTTCCACCATCACCCGGTTATTCCGGGAGTTACTCATCGGAGCCCGGGCGGTGGGCTCCGCCGCTGCCGCCGCCGCCGCCGCCGCCGCTGCCGCCGGGTGGCCCGTGAGAGAGTTGGGCACGGGCCGGCCTCTCGGCGCCGGCGGAGGCGGCAGCGAGCCCCGGGGGACGTGGGAATAACTCACGGGGGCGGCGGCGCTGTCCCAGCGGAGCTCACAGCCGCTGCCCAGCCGTGGCCGCCGCGCCCCCCGCTGGGACTAGAGGGCGGCCCGCGGCTGCTGGGAGGCGGCGGCGGCGGCAAGCGGGCAGACAGGAGGGGGCCGTGGGCGGGGACTCTCCTGCTTCCTGCGGGCTCCCGGGCCAGGCTACAGCGACGGCCGCCAGGAAACCACGCTCTCCCCCGGCCTGAAGCGCGAGGAGCGCAAGGGGCCGGGGGAGGCTAGCCCGGGGGGGGCGGCGGGGGCGGCGAGGGCTGCGGGGTGCAAGGTTAACTGCCGGCCTTTCTGCGCCCCCAGCCTCTCGCTCCTAAGCGGGCGCCCGAGCGCCGGCGCCGCCTCCCCCGCGGTGGGCGGCGATGGTACTTGCCGGCGTCCGGCGAGCGCCCGGGCCCTCAGGCCCTCTTCTCTCTGCCCCCGCGCCAGTCGCCGCGCTCCGCCCTGCCACAGAGTCCCCGCCGGGCGAGAGCGGCTCCACATCCGGGTACCGCCGCACCCAAGGCCGGAGCGGCACCTTCTCAGAGTATCTAAGAGGGGGATTCTCCGCAATAATAGAGTGGGAAAGGTTTCAGAGAGCCGCGCGATCGCGGGAAGAAAGGAGGAGAAAACCGATCCCCAAGCGTCTCTCCAGGGCCCAATGAGAGTGCGCATGCGCGCGGTCTAGAAAAAGGGTGGGTGGAAGCCCAACCCCAGCCCGCGGCGATAGAGGGGCGGGTCCGGGGGCGGATCCCTGGAGTTGCGGCCGGATGGTGCCGCGCCCCCAATGAGCTGTGAGGAAAGGGGTGGGGCCGTCCTGGAGGCGGGGCTGGAGGAAGTGAGGGTGGGGACCAGACCCGGGCTGCCCTGGCTGCCCGAGCTGTGCGGCTGTAATGTGGCTAGTCTTTCATTGACTTCTAGTGTTCCTAGGCAAACTAAGTGTGAATTGAGGATTTCATATTCTTTCAGTCTTCTTTTTTAACGAAGGCAGAAATAGATTATGCCACAGATCTAGGGCGACCTGATTTCTGTGTGTGTAAATTGAAAACATTTCAAACCACTAGGGCGACCTGATTTCTGTGTGTGTAAATTGAAAACATTTCAAACCAGAGTAGTGTGTTTTTAAGCTGAACAGCATGATATGGAATGTTGTGAGCAACGGTAAAGACTTTTAGAGGGTATGTCTTGCCTTTGTGCAGAATTAGAGTGGTAGATAGACTCCAAACTTTGCTGATTAATAACTGCCTCCACTCACGAAAAAATTCAGTCCCTAATTGCAAAATATAGTCTTCAAAGGAAGATTCGAAGACTCTAAGAATAGTTTCTGGTTGCCATAATTCAAATGACATTATGCTGTATAGGGTTTAAAACCATTGTTTCCACGGGCCAGCACTGTTGGCATTGTCAGCATGCATTGTTAGCATAAACTGTTGCTTTTCCTGACGGTCAAAGGAGGGGAAACCCCAGCAGAATGGGTAATCAAGAGAAAAGACAAAAAACGGGATGTAAAATGTACCCAAAGAATTATTACGTACCGAAATAAAATGTTCTTAATTTTGTTTGTTTGTTTTGAGACAGGGTCTCACTCTGTCATCCAAGCTTGAGTGCAGTGTCTCGATCTCGGTTCACTATAACCTCCCCCTCCTGAGTTCAAGGGATCCTCCCACCTCAGCCTCCTGAGTAGCTGGGACCTCAGGCAGGCACAACCACGCCCAGCTAATTTTTTGTATTTTTGGCAGAGACGGGCAGGGGTGTTGGGGAGGGTTGTCTCACTATTTTCCCTGGTCAGGCTGGTCTTGAACTCCTGAGCTCAAGCAATCCTCCCACCTTGGCCTCCCAAAGTGTTGGGATTACAGGCGTGAGCCACGTTACCCAGCCCTTAATTTTTTATGTAAATAAAGCTAACCAGAAAATACCAATTATGGAGTCCCAAAGGCCAAATAAAGCTTGTTTTAGAAACAAAACAATGTTAAAATCTTTGCTCCGAACAAGGTAGCCAAATTTTTTATTTGTGATTCGGAATATTTCACACTGGAAATTTTAAATATATTATTGCTAGAGCTACTCAACTATTCACTTAAGGGCGCTGTTAAGTGTTCCTGCTCTCTCAATTATTCCTACTCTTTTTGGACCCTTTTCTGATTTCCTTCTTTCTTTGTTCACTTTTAAATCGATCACATTAATGTGTAAGTTAATAAAAGAAAAGATTCAAGAATAACATACAGCCACTGTTAAAACTTATACTTGTGACTGACTTTGTAAGATACATTAATTCAAGTAAAAGCCAACTGACGTGTCAGATCCTTAGTAGTGTAATCTTGCTAACCTTGCATTTTAAATCAAATATATCAATAATGTCTTTCCATGTTTCCGGCCTGCCCAGGAGTTTTATATTTACTATGGTATAGCCTAATATTAACATAGGCTGTTTTTTGTTTTTTTTTTTTTGGTGGGGGCAGAGTCGAGACAGGATCTCACTGTGTCACCAGGCTGGAGTGTAGTGGCAGGATCACAGCTCACAGCAGCCTTTTGGGCTCAAGCAATCCTCCCACTCAGCCTCCTGAGTAGCTGGGACTACAGGCATATGCCACCATGCCCAGCTATTTTTTTACTTCTTATAGAGACATGGATCTCACTATGTTGCCCAAGCTGCTCTCAAACTCCTGGGCTCATGTCTTCCTCTCACCTCAACCTCCCCAAGTGCTGGGATTATAGGCATGAGCCATGGCACTAGGACAACTATTATATTTAATATCAGATTTTTTTTGAGATGGGGTCTCTCTCTGTCACCCAGGCTGGAGGGCAGTGGCATGATCTTGGCTCACCGCAATCTCTGCCTCCGAGGTTCAAGTGATTCTCTCTGCCTCAGCCTCCTGAGTAGCTGGGATTACAGGCACAAGCCACCACACCCAACTAATTTTTGTATTTTTAGTAGAGACGGGGTTTCACCATGTAGGCCAGGATGGTCTTGATCTCCTGACCTCGTGATCCACCCGCCTTGGCCTCCCAAAGTGCTGGGATTACCAGGTGTGAGCCACTGTGCCCAGCCAATATTTAGTATCAGATTTTAATACCAGAATTTTATTTTCCTTTAAGTGAAGTCCTGTACTTTCTTAAAGTGGAAAAGGATTTTAGGAGGTAATCTAATCCAGTGATTTTCTTTTTGTTTTCCAGCCCTCCCCTTTCCCCAAACCCTTTGTTCCTACCCTATACATTTTATCTATACTAGGAGCTAGGTACTCTAGATGAGGCAATATATAGACTTCTCTGACTTACAATGGTTTGACTTTCGATTTTATGATGATGCAGAAGCCATACACATTCAGTAGAAGCTGTAATTTAAATTTTAAATTTTGATCTTGTCCAGGGCTAGAGATGTGCAGTACAATGCTCTCTAGTGATGCTGGGCAGCAGGGAGCCACAGCTCCCAGTCAACTGCGTGATCATGAAGACAAGCGAACAGGACTGTACCCTGCACTATACTGTATTCAATAAGTTACAAAAGATATTCAATACTTTATTATCAAGTAGGTTTGAGGTTAGATGATTTTGCCCAACAGTAGGTCAATGTAAATGTTCCAAGTACATTGTGTAGGCTGGGTGTATTAAATGCATTTCAACATGAAATATTTTCAATTTATGTAACCCCATTGTAAGTCAAGGAACATCTGCAGTAAGGCTGGAGCCCACCTATAGTCTTCTCTTCCTCCTACCTTTGCAGGGACTCTGTAGGAACTCATCAAAACCACTGGAGTACCACTGAGTATGAGTAAGAAAACCTCAAACTAGCTCCATCCTTATACTTGAGATGATGAAAATCAGGCCAAAATTGATTAAGTCCCTTGCCCAGGATTGCAGAGGAAGTTAAAGAGAGAGAGCTAAGTCTATAACCCGTCTAATACTGGGCATATTTCTCTGTGTATAAATACTCTCTTATCCATCCATCCCCTTATTAAATATATTGTGAATTTATAACACTATCATATTGCTAAGACTATTTCAAGGGCTTTAAATGAATAGTTTACCAATGGTCTCCAAATGATTTTGATGACACATCCTTTAAGTACAAATTTTTTAACATATACATCTAATATATGTACTTATGTATAGATGATGTATTATTATGTTATACATGTTATAAAACATACTCAAAAATATATGAGGATAAGATATAAAATATATAAAAAGCTTTTTATATTTTTTACTCTCACCTTAATAGATCATCTCCCACATCCTTAGATGTTGAAATTTTTTTTTTTATTCTCCGAAGTTAGATGCACCTCACTTTGGAGACCGCTGTGTCATACGTGTGCCTGGCATGTTTAGGCACTAGGAGCCCAAAATCACCTACCATTGTCTCTGCCGCTGTCAAAGTCAGAGTTCCATGAGTGCAGGGCATACCCTGATGCTGCACCACTGGAATTGACCTGCCTGTGTAGGAGTTTAGAAGCTGCCAGAAGCTCCATCAGAACCAATAAACAAAAAATGGCTTCTCCTTCCTTTAGTTGATCTCCCATCAGTCTCCTACAAATAAGAATAGCCTACCCTTTCAGGTATTAAGCACCATTTTCTCTATTCTACCATACTTAAATATCTATATAACAAGGAGATAACTATATCACTTAACAAGATGCAAATAATCCACTTACAATGAAGATACTTTCACCCTGTAAAGAGAAGGCAAAAACTCATAACCATTACCATATCTATACCCAGAAGACACTAATTCCACTTCTAGTTGAGCCACGATCTCACCTGGATATTCTGTAACCTGCATTACAAAATTAACAACCACCAATAAAATTGACAGCCTTTTGGCGACTAACCAAGAAAAAAGGTAAGTCTCAAATAACCAGCAACACTTTTTATATAAAGTAGGAAGAAAAGCCAAGAACAGTGGCATTGGCCTGTAGTCCCAGTTATTCAGAAGGCTAAAGCAGAAGGGTCACTTGAGCTCAGAAGTTCAAGTCTAGCTTGGGAAATAGAGTGAGACCCTCATCTCTAAAAAAAATAAATAAATAAATAAGAAAAAATACATAGAAGGAAAAAGAGAGGAGGGAAATGATTGGTTTTACATACAGAAGTGTTTCAGGCTGAAC